GCATTGGCTGTATTAGTTTCTTCTCTATATATTGCTGAAGAAATATAAATTCCACAAGGATAGGGAATTTTCTGTACTTTCTTTGCATCTATATGTAGGGCAGCTCTAAAAGTATGGGGCATGTAGTTAAAAACCAACAAATATTCAAAAAATGAATGACCAAGATTGAAATAATCATTTTTATGTTCAGCTGAATTATTTCTTTTTAATTGAGTTACGTAAACAAAGCTAGGAATTGTAAAATGCTCTGCTGATTTGCTGAATAGTGACAATTTATACTAAGTAAAATTTTGTCATATAAGTAGCTGTCTACCCTTTGTTGGCTAGTTATGATAAATACTTTGACACCAATCTCTTGCAATTTTGATAATATTGTTGACCTACATAACAAATTCTGTTTCATTAGTTGATAATATAAACTTTATCCTAGGAGGATGAGGAAAAGAAATATTTCTTGTGGGTCTACAAGTGCTAGCTCTACCTTATTAACTATGGTAATATTTGTCTACACCTGCCAATAAGAAAACTGAAGTACAGAGAAGGTATTGGCATGTTAATGACTGAAAATTAGTTAAACTAACAAATTCTAAACTTTACTGCTTTATAATATCCTCACAGTCTCAGTAAGTTTTTCATAGTACTTCAAGTCTAAACAAACAAATACTTAATAGTTCTGTTGGTCAATCAGTTTAGTTCAATCAACATCTATTTTTTGACCTAACAACTAACACTACACTATATCTCAAGCCTTGGAATCTAAATGGACCCCACTAATTCACTGATTCTTTAGATTGATTATCACAGTGATCCTCATATACCTAGTTTCACAAACATTTATACTAAAAGAATATGTGCCAAACTAATGCTGAAACCAATACCTACCTTCAACTAACATCTCATGTACAAGCTAAGAGATGTCTGCATGTCACTGTCAAAATTCTAAAATATCTTGCAGTGTTCCTGGGCATATTGGTACACAGTTTGGGAGGTCTGAAGCTGAACTACACACCTTTATCTGAACCTATCTCAGGCCCTATTATTTCCTTGTTCTGTCTTTGAAAGCATCATACCTAACCAAATTAAAGGGTACCAATTATAAACAGTGTAGAGATTCATTATAGACTTCTGGGTCATTATTAAGAGGAGCAACTACTGTTTTGTTGAATACAGTTCTCTTGACAGCATGCTATTACTATCGTCTATACTACCCCCTTACCTTAATTTCCTATACTAAGTGTTTAACTACTTGTATCTTAAATTCATAGTTGGTTCTCATTATTTTCAGATCTCCTATTTGTTATTTGTGAATTCTCCTTTTCATTAAAACTTATTTGCAATCCTCCAAAAGCAACACTTATGGTGCTTTTGTAGTCATTCCGAAATACAGGAACGTATTAAAAAATGAGTTACCCAAGTACAAATTCCCAGCTAAGGTCAAAAGCACAATGTCTGCCTTCTTATTTAAGCACTCATACTCTAAGCCAGTGTCATTTTTTGTGGTGTATTTGGCGCCACAAGTTTTCATGTGCTTTTAATTGCTGAGTTCTCTGCTTAAAATGGGCCCAGAACTAGAGCTGAATTATTCCCAAGTGCAAGTAGGCTATGATATACCTTAGAAAGAAAACACCTGTGTTGGATAAGTATGAGTTAGTACTGGTGGCTGTGAGTTTTATGCTAGTGCATCAATGATACATACTTAAGTAAGGTGTCTTTGAACAAAAACACATATGAGGCAAGGTTATATATTGATCTGTTGATAAAAATGTGACCCAAGGCTCACAGGAGCCTAACTCTGTATTTCCTTCAGGAACAATAATTCAGAATTAGTTCAGAATCATTCACTAATTTGGTGCTCACAGTGAATTTATACAACACGATTACTGTAGATGGGGAGAATTGATATATGTTGGTCTGCCAGATTTGTCTATTCATTTTCCCACCATCTTGTGAGGATAATCAGAAAATTCCTACATAGCTGACATTCACAGAGGACAAATTTCATCAAGAAGCAAACAAAAAATAGGCTTATGAGGTAGAGGAAAGAATAGGCCTGCTCTGAGAGAGAAGTATGGTCCCAAAAGGAGAGGAACCCAGGGAAGGCAAGTTTTGTCTGCATCAGAGGGTTGCCTGGAGCTGGTCTGGGGGTCTCAGATACCAACACCACCATTAGATATGTATTGATTGACAAGGTGGCGTGATGGAGGATTTGACCTTTCAAGGTCCTTTCTGCAGCAATCTTTTTTTTTTTTTTAAGATTTCTTTCTTTTTCAAAGTATAACTAACACTGGGAAAGTCACAGTCAGGTTTGCTTAGAAAGAAACAGCTCCTGCTTGTTTTACTGTCTTTCTTCCCTAGTTTTGTACAATGGAATTTTTAAAGTACTGTAGAGTTAATAATTATAGTCACAGAGGAAACCAAGAGATTGTTTAAGTACTAAGTAAAGTCATTTGGGTGCCGAATGGTTGAGGGTTTTAAAAGTAACAATTTGTACATACCGTATATTTCTCTCTTCCTCAATTTTAAGTGGTATGAAATACATCTGATCAAATCACTTGAAATGTCGAAATGGAGAATGACACTTCATGTGACAACAATATGGCATTTTATCTAAAATTGTGTTTTTTTACAGCTCATGAATGAATAAATGAATGATGACTATAAACTTCCTCGGCCTCTTAGATAAATGGTTGTCACAAAATATGAAGGCTAACAAAGCAGAAAAACAGCAAAAGAGGGAATATTTCTTGAGGATTATGTAGGATATAGTGCCAAATGCTTTAAAAACATAACTCTTGTCTCTCATGGTCTATTAGCTTATTTCACAAGTTAGCATGTAATGGGGAAAATGACCTAATTTGTTAGAGGCTTAAAAGGCTGACTATCCTTTTTTCCTCCTCTAATTCATTTTTCTCTGTCATTTTCCTATTTTCTGAGACATCTCTCTCATTCTCTCTCTCTCTGTCTCGTTTTTTTCTCTCTCTCACTTTCTCATTTTTCCTCTCTCATTTTCTCTCTCTTTTACACACACACACACACACACACACTCACACAATTAGGTTGTGTGCCAAAGAACAGTAATAATAAGAAAAGGAAAAAAGACACCCATTCATTTCCAAAATTTCAGTCTAAAGAAAGTAATAGACATAAAAGGAAATAGTGTACTAAATACTATCATAAGCAGAAAGTTATGGTTGTTAAAAGATAGTCATTACAGTTGAAGGGTAAATGTGGAGAAAGAACATCTGAACCAGGCCTTGAAGGATGGTCAGAGCTCCACAGGTATAAAATGGGCAAGTTAGAACAGCACATTTTTAAGTATAATTAATATGCCTGATACAATTTATCAAATTCTGCAATATTTTGGAATTGACTATGGAATTATTGTGAAAGAAAGACTTTAATTTGATATGAAAACAGTCAAGTTGACTTAAAGTTGAGACTGGAAGATGGTGTTTGGCCTCCCAAGTGAAGAGATGGTGGATGGTTCAGGAGAATATGGATATTAATAAAGGGCACAAAATTGCCCCTTTGTGGTGATGCTCCAGGCTGTGGGAATCACTTCAGAAACAGTAAACTGTGCTCTGGATACCACAGACAAAGAGAACAATGCCTCAGTTTAATGGTTTCAAGAACAAGAGCATTTGAAGAAGAATCAACACCACATATGAAATCCTCAAAGGACTTGGGATGAATTGTCCAGAGAGAATAATACTTTATAGATACTTTTGAAATATGTGAAGACTACATGCAATGAGCTGGATAGATGTACTTATGTCATGGTTTGTTTGTTTTTTAGGACAGGGATCTTGGATTAGATGCTCAATGATTACTATGACAGAAAATGTCTTAAGTGCACTCAGCAGATACCAGGTGGCTTCATTGATCAAACTCCAAGACAACTGTGGAGGGTGAGGGTGAGGATACAGTCTAGGGCTGTAATATACTTCATCCAGTACCTTAGCCACCAACTCTCTAAAGCTATTGAGTGCTTCAAATGTAGCTACTGCAGAATGTTAAAATGATAATATCATGGATATAATTGGTTAAATATATTATTATAAAAATTAATCTCATTTACTTTTTGGCATACGGTGTACACTAATTTTTTAATTCAAATGTGACTCCAATTATATTTCTATTTGACATCATGTTCTTGGAGTCAACACTGCAGAAAACTCTCTCTGCTTTAATCATACTAGATACAAATGTATCTGTGATATCAATTGTGATTCTGCATATATAGTTTATTTGGTCAATAAAATTGTTTAAATACTACTCTGCTTAAATGTTGGTAAGGTAAGGAGAAAATACATTAATATAATGAAATAGAATTCAACAGTTAAGTGGAATGAGGTAAGCCATGTATAGTGATAAATTAAGGTATGTTTTAGGTGAACAAAACAAGTTGCAAAATAAGTTTCATTATTAACTACAATATATATCTTGCAGCTCTGTGTCTATACATAATTATTTAGACAATGGTTTGGAAAACACATACCTACCTGAAGTTGGGAACATAGTGAAGTGGGTGATGGGGGAAGGTCTGATATGAAGCTACCTAGCTTTATTTATAATGCCTGAATTATTTTTTACAATGAAAATGTAATCATTTATAGTAATAATAATAATAATACATTAACTCTGCTAAGTGGAATAATCTTCACATCTTTCCAGTCCATGATTCTCTAATGATCTGCTGAGAAGAAAGGGTCAGCAAAAGGCACAAAGGGACAGTAGGCAGGTTACCCCTAAATCAGTATGAAACAGGAAATAATGCATGAAGAAACAGGCAGGACATCACACTTAAGGTTCTTCAGTACTAATCTGGGCTTGTTGAGATCACTCATCCCTTTATGAGTAAAAAGTCCACTTAGTTTGACTAAGGAACCAAACATCTTACCAGATTACACTGAATAATTAAAAAATGAAGATGAGAGCTAACTCTTTGGGGTTCCTACTAGAAGCTCTGTTCAGCTCTGAGCTACAGAGGCCTCACATACCCTGATCATCAGCACAGCCTTTCTGATGTCCCGAACACCGTCATACACCAGGCGAGAGGCATCAATGAACTCATTCTCTTCAAATGGTTGAGGGACGTTGGCACTCAAAGCTTCAATGGCAACTTCGACTTGTTCAGCAAAGCGTGGCATCACTAGGTTAATTAAACACAGGGAAAAGCAGTGGATTAGGGAGCCTTTCTCTCACCATCCTGCCTTCTCGCCCTTAGGCAAAGTGGTAGTTGAATTTAAGGTGGGTCCCATTTATTTGGCTTTGTGCCACTTACCTTAACAGGGGGAGCAAACTGTTACTCCATGCATAGTGATGGCTTACAAAAATGAAATCTTATTAAACCCATCCAAAGTTATGTGTTGTAGCATATAAGTATAGAGTACATGTTATGTAAACCTGAGTTGACTTCCACTTCTGCTAGTTACCAACTATAAAACCTTGGCCAACTTTTTTCAACCATTCTAAATCTACCTCTTTGTCAATACAATATAATAAGATCCTATCCCTGGACTCAATAGAATAATGCATGCAAAAGTATTGAATGGAGAGCTGGAGGCTTGGCTCAAGCAGTACAGTACCTGCCAGCAAGCACAATAGTTCAAACCCCAGTAACACCAAATAAAAGTGTTGGATGGAATCTGGCCTTTAGAAAGTATCAATGGATATTTAACTAATATCAGAAATTATAGTCATTGCTGGTAAACAGCAAATCTTTGCCCATATGGCTTCCAGATAAAGAGTGAATGAAATGATTCAATCCATTGCACTTTTGTCAGGAATGTAGGAATTGAGATTTGAAAGGATGCTGGATAGAGGGGGACTATGGAAGGACTGTGTAAGAGGAAAGAGGACAAACACAGGATACTGCATCTGAATGACCTATAGAAAGAGAAGATAAATTGTTCCACTTTGCCAGGATCACCTTGATGTGAAAGAAGACACATATATAAGATGCTAAAATGCTGACGCCTATTTCTTCTCACAGGAACATCAGGCATACCCTGGAGGATAGTGGAAAATAAACTTAGTGGAATGTCTGGAGTATTTCCACTAACCACTTATAAATGCTACTTTTTTCACTGTTTTTTGAAAATTGTAATTCAGTTTTCTCAGCTGTTATTTTATAACAATCAATTCATATGGCAAAGGAAAGCTAAAAATATAACTCATTTTATTTACAAGGACAATAAAATAGAAACATCATTCATCTACTTCCATTTCTTAACTTTCATGCTTAATTCACCTTTACATTCATTTTCATCCTCTGAGGATAGTTTAACATACATTTTAATCCCTGGTGTGAGAAACTCTGCTAAATTACTTTACTCTCTAGGGTCAAAGTATTCAAGATAAAACATTCCTAGAAAAGTGTACTTCTACCAGGAAAAGTCAAATACCCTTTTAAAAAAAGAGGGGGTCAGATGCTGGTGCCTCACGCTTGTAATCCTAGCTACTCAGGAGGCAGAGATCTGGATGATTATGGTTCAAAGTCAATCTGAGCTAATAGTTCACAAGACCCTACCTTGAAAATACTCAATGAAAAAAGGACTAATTGAGTGATTCAAGAAGTAGAGCTCCTACCTACCAAGCATTAGGCCCTGAGTTCAAACCAAAGTACCACAAAAAAGAGGTGGAGGGTTAGAGGGAAATGAAGTAATCATTTTTAATAAACTCTATAAAAACCAAAGCATGCATGGGGTGATTTTTCTTCTGTAGCTGAATTATGACTTTTTTTCTCTGTACTATTTGAATTTTTCATTTGGGCTTTTGAACTAAACGTATAAAAAGAATTTGGGGAATATTGCTATAAGTAAGAATTAAATAAAATTGAGGTGATTTATGTGCTAATTATCCTGATTTCTCATTTCTTAATGGATATATATATCAAAACAGAACACTGTACCCCTTAAATGTGTACAATTATCACAGTAATTTAAAATCAAATAAAAAATTTGAAAAACTATTTCTAAACCAATAAAAAATTTGAAAAACTATTTCTAAACCAATGCATTAAACTCAGGCTATTTCAGTTATCCTTCATATTGAAAATACATTTTACATGACTAAACAATACAGATACTGAAATTGACCCCTTGAGCATAATATTTTTGTATGTATTTAGCATTTGGAAATGAATGCTTTTCATAAATAAAATTACAACTTCCCTTTTGTTCTTAAACAGATAGTTCTGAGTTACACTGATTCCATTTTATTTAAGTGCTAAGTCACCATAATCATGACCATCAATAATTTTACAGATTTTTATGTGATTCTATCTGATACCACTTAGATGCATAAAATCATTTGCCACTATTGTGTAACTGGCAAAGGATTAGTACTCTTACATGTTCATGGATAAATATTCCCCCTAAATCAATAAGGGAAAAGAAAACAAAAACTTGACAATGGATTAGCATACTCCATTCACAGAAAAGAAACTCATATCCCTGATAAATACAGCAAGATGTTTGACTTTACTAATCATAAAAATAACAAGGTCAATATTGAGATATCACTTCATACTTGTTGGGTGGGCAAACAAATGAAAGTATAATCTTATTTGTCATGTGGACAAAGGGGAACCCTTTTACTAAAGATGGAAGTACAAATAGGTACACATCATTTTAGTCAGCACAATGACAAAATCTATTAAAATGAAGCTTTCCTGTCCTAAACAATAGGATGGGGCAGTACCTAGGGTTTGGTCATGTATCTGAAGAGATGCTGAATAAACAGGTTAAACAACCATACACTGGAGTCACAAGAATATCTTTGTGTCTCTGTGGTTACAGTTGGTTTTTGTTAGGTTATAAATTATAAGAGTTAAGAAGAAGAAACTTGAGAATGAAACAAAACTTGAGAATGAAAATAACTCTTCTCACACAGTTCCATCAAGCAAGCTACCCAGAATCATCTAACTCAGGGGAAACCATTGTGTGATGCTCACTCCAGATCCATGGGCACTGTATGTGATGAAATGGACCAAGGCATGTGAATCTGGAGACAGCCAATATATTAAACTGAGTAACTCCTGAGATCAAAGCTTGAATGGGAAAAGCAAACTGAAAAAAAAGATGATCATTTGTGAGCAATTTAAAAATACACAAAAGAATACTATGCATAATTTACTTGTACATCATTTTATATGCATTTACATGCATTTTATATGTTATTAAATGTTCTGAAAGGACATATACCACCTTAAATATAATATTTAACTTGGAAAGGGGGAGGAGATTAGTTTCTGCTCTTTTTATGTCTTTGAATCTTTTGTAAATTCAGATATTTAAAAAAGAATAAACAAATTTTTCTCAAAGCTGTACATTTCCTTGTAGAGCAGGGCTCTAAAAAAATAAAGTTATCTCACATGTCACACAACATAATAGAAACAAATTAATCAATAGCATTAAGTGGGGAAGTCCCTCAGAAATTGTGACCATGAACAAATACTTATATTCTACCTTTATAAATGTCAACTAGAAGTTGAGTTAGATATTGCTGACCACCCAGACCCTGACCCTATGAACACATTTCTATCAATGTAAAGACCTTTGTTGAATCTAAAGGAGTAAGGAAGTTATGTCACCTTTTGTCTGTGTGAAGATACCCTAAAGAAGAAATGGGAGGAAGAAAATGCTGTGAGTGACAAGCTATCTTGTTTCAGCCACCTTTAGGCTTAATTCTGTGCCCAAGGGAGAGAGAAAAAGCTAAGATCTAAAGAGAATGTTTTAATGAGGGATGCTCCCAGGCCTGGAGTTGAAGAAGGACATTCTATTTGAACCAGCATGGAATATAACATCTTGCTAGTGAGATTTGGATGGTAGTGCCCTGGCTTGAACAACAGTGTTATTGACCTGTCACTGCCACAGGAGGCAGAAATGAATTAAATTTATGAAGATATTGGAATATAAACATCATCAATCTTTCAAGATACAAATGATGGGGTTGAGGGTAAGAATATCTTTCTTCATGCATCCAAGTATTTCAGTATTATTCTTTTAGGGTTTGTTAACTGCTGTTTAACCAGCACAGCTTTGTTCTCCACATTGTTGCTCTTTCCTAGTTTATTTTTACCCTGCTTTGTTTTCAAGAGTGATAAATCACAAAAAAAAGTTTACATAACAGGACTGGGACACAGTCCAAGTGCTTGTCTATCATGTGTAAGACAGTGGGTTCAACCCCCAGTACTGCCAAAAAAGGAAAAACTTACAGACCAATGATCAATCTTGGCAGAATGTAAGGTATCAGTTTAACTATGAATTCTTCTGATATCTTGATAGTGTCTGAAAAATTAAGTGCCCCAAAAGTAATATTGAGATAAAAAAGTTTTAGACTACTTCAAATATGATCCTGTGCTCTTGCTTCTCACTAATTAGGATAGAACACGGCATTACCTTTGTGATTCACATTATATATTAACAGATTTTCTGATATAGGATTATATAAATAGAAGCTTCTTTCTACTTTCTGAATTACATCCAAAAATATAGGCACCACTTTACCATGATTATCAGAAATGCCGAATTGCTCTCAAAAGCTTATGTCCTGAAAGGGTGATCAAAGTTGGAAATAAATTTTAAGTTCTAGGCTATACTTTTGTATGCATACTGCATACTAGACCACAAAGTGATGACATTCCAGGAGTAATGAAATCAGAGTTAAGTACGCATATAAAAATCAAGGTCACATCATTCTGTGTTGATTGAGATCCTAAACCATAGGTGAGGAAGTTCTGGAACAAATCCTCCTAAGAGACTTCAGAGGTGAAGTTTCAGAGCACAGAGTTAAATGAAGTAGAAGTTGTGCTAAAGTGCAAATAGGACTGCTTACAACCATAAAAGACTCCACGGTTAACCAGAGGAAGTAGAGATGAACAATCTGCCAACCTCAATGCCTCTCACTCATTGTCAAAAGAGTCTACATTCCAGCTTTAAACATGTCAATGATTCCTTATAATGCAAGGGACCTATAAAATTCCCTTAAACTACAAGCATAAACATCTATAGTTACTCTCTCTTCATTTCTCTGTCTCACCACCTATTTCTACATATACTCTGTTTCAAATAGACTGAATTTATGTCTGCCTACAGATATGACATGGAGACAAAATGTGACATATTAATATACCCATGAGGAATTTAT